GAGAAGATGGTTTCTAGAGGAAGCGGTATCGTATATACAAAGAATGTTTGAGAAATGCAGGTAAATTTGGAAGGCAAACCAAAAGATAGAAACACCACCTGAAGAGGGGTGGTGGTCTGCCCAAAGCTCAAGATGATGTATAACCATCCGCAGCAGCAACTCTTCTTGCTCCCATAGCCTCGCTGGAGTCCAGCTGCGTATCGTGCTTTTGGAGCCTGTTTTTCAAAGTTGGACGCTTTGTTTTTAGAGGAAGCGTTTGGGTGGCACTTTTATTTTAGCTTTCAAAATTGTGATTGCCTTCCCTGAGAACAATACCCCAATGTTGCATTGCAACCAGAAAAAGCATGGTATCTAAAACTTCTGGCTTCTTACTTCAAAACATAGAAATATATATATAGTTATATATAGAGTTAGAAATATATATAAATAGGCTTTATGTACAACCTGTCAATATTAACATTTTAGGACTGTATTCAGTGCAAGTTAGATGGGGGTGGGTGCTGAACAGTCACATGGGGCACTGCATCTGGCTGTAACTTAAAGTAGTTTATATTTCTCTGTGGGTCTTGTACTTCTATTTGGTTTACTTGGCAGTGATATTCCTTTTCCTGTGGAATTTGCTACTGCTAAACATACCATTTCTGATGTCTCTAAACTCTGGCTCACCAGATATTACAGCCTTTCCATAGCAACTGCACTGCCTGCGAGCACTGAACTTCCAGAATCTGTATCCCTTTCCTGGGAGCATATCCCCTACAAATGATATACACTCGCAAGCGAGTGCGTTGCAGCCAAGCGATAATGCCGACCCTTCAGACGGCCTGGAACACCAGCCTCCTCCAGCGTGGTGGATATGGTTACAGGTTAGCTCAGTGGGAACCTGTGGCAGATGGGAGCAGATACGCGGGGCAGGGAGGGAAAAGCTTCGTCCAGAATTTCCAGCTGAGGCTATTGCTCACATTCAGTACCATGAGAATCGCTTATAAACCCAGAATGGGATCTGTAGGGATTGTGGACTTGAAAGTACCGTTCTTCCAATCCTGCTGGAAATATTATGCCTGCCACATCCTTTGATTCCATCACCTTTTTTTATGATCGCATTTTGTGGTACAGTATCTGTTGCTCAACCGGTCATCTGGGTCTTTCTCCTTATGACTTCAGGTGATGAATTCCCATTACAGAAATGTTATTCTTGCACTTCAAAATTATTCTTTAATACTACAGTCTACATGCAAAGCTATCCTCCTCTTCCCGTGTGGTATTTTTAATCCTTTTTCCGGATACACCTTTCTCATTTTCTTTGCAAATTTTTGAATGTTTCTACTTTTGTGCTGTGTCTGTTAATTAAAATATTACAGACAGAATATTCAATAATCTGTGAGAAACTTTTCTATCCATCTCCCTCCTGCTAGGTAGCTTCCCTGAAAGCATAACTCATCATCATTTCTCCTTTAACGAGCTTCTTACCTTAAAATGCTTCTATTCTATCATCTTTTGTGAATCAAATGACTTTTTTCCTCCATGTTAATTGCATCAAAATGTTTTGAATTCTGACGAAGTACTACATATTCTATTTACCTTTCTATGGTACTACTCTGCATCTTGGTAGTTTACCAAAGTCTTTCACCTGGATTTGGATTTTCATGTTGAAGTTATTGGTTTTTTCTTTAAATATAGTCATTTTCGTTTTGGTGCTGTCATCCTAGTAGTTTCTTCCTGTTTTGTCTACATTTAAAATCATCCTCCTTGCCAAAAAAAAAAAAAGGGTCAAAGAATGACTTGGTTTTTAGGCCAGCCTATTGTTCACCTCACGACAGCGTGGTGTACATGCCTCACTCTTTGTTTGAAGAATATTTCAGTGCTGCACTTTGCTTCATGAGGTTTAATTCATCCTGACCTGTCTCCTTTTTGTTCTGTCATCTGTGATTTTTCTTTGGTACTTCTTTCCTCCTTAATTCCTTGTTGGAATGCTTATCCCTTTCTTGTTTGTAATGCAATTTCTGAACAGTTTTTTTGACTGAAATTTCATTATTCTTCCACTTTGAAAACGTGTGCTGCTCAAAGTGGTTTCCAGAAATGGTTCCTTTAATATCTCAAAGTTCAATCTCTCATATCTTTTTCCAAATTAAAGCATCCTAGTATGTATTGTTGTATGAACACCAAGCTACCTTCTTGTCATATGAAAACCATTCTTTATCTTTGATCATTCTTGTTGCCTTCTTCCAGTTACATAATAAATCCCTTTTAAGATGGGACAACCAGGACTGCACGCAGTATTCAAGATGGAATTGCTTTTTTTCAGGGTATGGTATTGTGTAGTTTAGAAATACTTTTTAGCTTTATAATGCATTTATTTGCACTTATTAAAACTGAACGATATCTGTTCTTCTATCATTCAGTGTCCTAAGATCCTTCGGCGTGTTCTTTGCAGTCAGATTCATTTTTTTCACAGCATTGAATAACTCCGTGGCCTCAGCAAACTCTTTGGAATGGATACTGCAGATCCTTCTGAGCATGCTGAACAGTTTGAATCTCTCTGAATGTCTGCCAATAACTGCATTTATACTGTGAAAGTTGGCCTTTTCTTCCCTGAACTTTTAATTGGTTACTAATTCATTAAGACCTTTATTCTCCTACAATAAGGTTGGTTTCTTTAAGATCCTTTGATAGCAAATTGTCAAATGCTTGTTGAAAATCTAGGCAAACCATAGGAACTGGATCCCCTCAGTCCACATGATTCTGCTTGACTTTTTCAGAGATTCTAAAAAAGTTGAGGCATAACTTCCAAAAGCTTTACTAACTCTTCCTTGTTATATCACATTTATCTGTGTTCATTAATTCTGTTCTTATTAAGGTTAATATAGTAAAAATTCAGTGAAAACCTCAATTTAAGTTATACACAGGTCCCCAACTCCTTCTAAAACCTAAAAAACCCCCATTGTTTTTGCTACCTCCTTCCAGTTCAAAGGAGTTTTAGTAATACTTTTAGTCTTTATCTTAGTAGTTCAACAATTATTATATATTTATGTTCTTTTAGAACACTTAGTTGAGTACTATCAGATCTTAAACCGAGATTTTTTTTCTGATTTGAAACCTCTTCAAAATAATCTTTGAGAAAACCATAACTTAGAGCTGCTCTGCCTTCTTTCAAAAAACCTGATTTACTAAAGAGACAAATATGAGTAATATGTGCCTACGAATTCAATAACATACTGTACAGCTCTTCAGAATTACAGAATACTGACAAGCACAAGCAAACCAACCTCGAGTTTGTATTGGGGGGTTGTCAGGTATAACTGGAGATTGTAAACTGTGGTTTTTGCTTGTGAAGTAATGAATGTTTTTTTTCATGTATGACATATATACAATGGATAGTTTAAGTAAAAAGTAAGTTTCAAATTCATATTAGTTATGCTCACACTTTAAAAATAAATAAAAGCAATAATGATAAAAATCTTCCAAACATTGTTACACAGTTTCTCAAAGTCAGGAGGAAGAAATCATACCAGATGTAGTGCTCTTGCTGGAGTGTGGAAGAAAATAATTAAAAAAATTTATTTTTTAATAAAAAAAATAAAAATAGTCATTAGAGATGTTTTTGCAAACCTGGTAGTTTTAACAAATGCATTTACTGTTCAATGAATGTGTTTTGAGCACCTGTGCAATGCTGCATTATACTCTGTCCTGACAAAGCTTGTTTGTGGTCTGGTATTATGTGCAATGTTGCATATGACAGGTTAGCAAGGAAGTTAGTAATAGACAGTGCTGTGGATACAAAGAAGAAAAAAACAAACAAACAAACCCAAAACCTTCCATTTGTATTCTTTGTTGTGTAGAAGCTGAAGTCCTGAGTAGCAAGTGTGTAAGAAAAGGTACTAGAGCACTTCTTTCCATACTTTCATGCAGCTAGAGTTGCTGGGCTGCATTTTTATCTGATGTAATAAGATTCTGTCTTTACAGTGTGTGTTTACTGTCTCAATAAAGAAATTTGAAGATTAATGTCAGCATTTGTTATTTTGAAGAATGATTTTACATGATCGTGGGAAGAGCTCTTCAAAACAACATGGAGTTGAAAGAACAGTTTTGGGGCTTGGACAGTCTGTAACACAAGATCTGCAGCATAACATATTATTCTACTGACTTACTTGTCTACCTTACTTGTCTGTAAGTGTTAAAAATCTCTGTGAAAGTGTAAGTGGCTCCTCTCAGTGTATTCTAGGCATTTTTTCCCGTCTAGGGAGAGCAAATGCAATACCGTTAATATTTTAGTTGGACAATGTAGTTGAATTGATATAACAGCTTGTTTCCTCTGAAAGCAGTAATCTTTTCTGGCCCTCGCACTCATCTGGCCCATCACTGAGCCAATTCAGCTCACTTAAGTGGGTAAAGATGAACCTCGTGGGAAGAGGAGGGAAGGCTTGAACAGATTAATTTGGCCATACTGTCTAACTGCACAACAAGCTGCCTTCCTAGCAGCTGCTCTGCTAAAAACACTCAGAGGTCTTGCACAACAAACCCTTGTCTATTTATTGCCATCCTAGAAGCTGTTGCAGAACCAGACCCCAGAAGTACTGAAGCATTTGAGACTGGGAGGCACTGATAATGGCAAACGACTACTCCAAAATCTCATCTGGTTTTGCCAGCACGTAGAAACAGCTGGACATAAGACCTCAGTACTTACCAACGCAGCGTGCAAGTCGTTATTATTAAACAGTGGTTGCAGTTCATTTTCTACACAGAGGTGCGCTAATGTTACAGAAGACTAGAATAAAGAAGATTAATATTAAAAGTAAATTATTTTCTTGGTGGAAATTAGTAACTTGATCTTCCTTACTGGAAAATAGACAAAATTTCTGTGCTGGAAAGACTGTTAAGCAAAGAGGTTTAAATTCACAGAATTTTGTATCAGTAGCAAAGTGCCAAGTTTTTCTTTGGTGTCTATTTCGCTGCCAGCAATGAAATAGGTTCCTGAGCCCCAGGCCATCCTGTTTGCCTTCCTTTCAGTCAGCTTCATCATCGCTGGGTTTCTCTTCCGAATCATCATTTTCATATTCCTCATCCTCGTATCTGAAGGCACCCTCGGCTTCAGGGTCAGACTGACCTTCCTCTTCACGCTCATGGGACTGGTCAGACCGAGAGCTGGATCTTGACTGATCACTGTCCTCCTCCTGGGAACGGCCAAGCGACAGGACTGCTTTTACTTCCTCCTCCTCTTCATGGTGCTGGTCTGAGGGGGGACTGGACCCAGCCTCCTCTGCGTGGCAAGGCTGATGAGTGTAAGGGCTGGCTCTTGCCTCTTCCTCATCCTCACTGGACTGGCCATCCCGGGTGGAGGTTTTGACACCTTTTCTCCTCTCTCCCTCCTCTTCCTCCTCCTCACAGGACTGCTCAGACCAAGGCCTGCTGTCAGCTGCTTCCTCAAAGGATTCCCTTTCTTTCATTTTATCCTTCATGACTCTGAAAAGACAATTTGCACGTGTGATTTTATTTTCAGGTAAGATGCTTTCCAGTAGGTTTTAAACTACGTTCTGGTCGTTTGTACTAGGACAAATCCTGGTAGACGTGGAACTGGGGAGGGAAAAAGGAAGGGGCGACACTAGAGTCTCCTTTTAGGCTAGAAAGTAACTCAAAAGTATTGCTTATATATTTCAATTTTTTTATTCCTGCTTCCTTTTAAATCATAACACCTAATGGATATTGAAAAGTATTTTTATAAGGCTTATTTTAAAATTTCAGTAAAGGTAATGCAGAAGGAAGTGACTTACTAGCAACCTGCCAGAATTTTTGGTGAAAGGAACAAATAAAAAAATGTTTTTCTTCATTTTTCTTTGAAGTGTGTTACGTAACATATCCAGGGGTCTCCTCTGTTTTATGAAATAATAGTTAATTCAGGAAAAACGATAAGAAATACATACTAATGCTAACATTAGTGAAGCTAACTGCATAGTCAAATATTTACCTGGGAAATACTACAAATAATTAAAAAAAACCCCCACACCTACACATCAAAAATTACTTTCTAATTACTAGGTATGTAGTGGCACAAAAAAAGCCTTCAGTAATCTCTACCTTTCTCTGGCATCAGTGGAGTTATTAAAATCTTCAGCACTGGAGCATTGTAGCAATTTAGTTGTTTGTCCTTTCTTTGAAACCAACTCTGGGCATACCCCCAGTGCTCTCAATCTGTTAGTATAATGCTTTTCTGCAGCTATTCTGGCATTTTTCTGTAGGAAAACCACAATTGTTATATGTTATCTAAATGCATTAAATGCCTGTCTTTTGATACTTTTATTTATATTAATACTCTGTCTCATTAGTTGCATCTGACAAGTTGAACGATTACTCAGTGCAGGCAAGAATGGCAAAACAACACTTGAAAACTTACACCAGATTTTCCTTTTCTGTAGTAGTTTAAATCTGCTTTGCTCCCTGTGCCCACTGGCTAACGAAGAGCTATATATTCTGTATATAATTACTGAGGGAGGAGGGGGAAGATGTGGACGTGTAGAAAATCAGATGTAGTCTTCCTAGGGCTTCTCCCTTATCCCCTCTCCTCCTCCTCCTCCTCCTCTGTCTTCCCTCTCTGGGACCTGCTGACCTAGAAAAAGTAGTATTGATTCACCTTCTTACAGTGCTGTTTAACAAATTACATAGATGTGTATCTCTGCCTCTGAAACCGAGGGTGTAAATTCTGTTCCTCCAGGTCTGAGTGAGGAGGACTTGTCCTCCGATCTACGCAGATGGTCCTGCCCCGCAGCGATGGCAGACCAGGACACCTGCGCAGACAGAAGGGACGGGGGAACCGGTGATCTATGACTTGCTGCCTCTCTGGGGTTTGGAAACAGGTCAGGGACCACGCTACCAGCACAGGGTTATACTGAAATAGAGAGATGAAAATACTGCATCTGAGCTTTCAAGTAGATACTAAGAATACTCAGATTTTCTTATCCCTTCTTTCCCAACTTAAACCTTCCACATTTCTGCGGTAAATTTTTGTTGTGTTTTGAGTTACTCATTATAACTGAATTGGACAACATGTTGAGGACAGCCATCTCGGTTCCCTGTGCAAGCCAGCCATGAATGTTTAGTCACAAAAATTAGTAATATTTATATGGAGATGGGGCAATAGAGATTAAAATGGACAAATACTGCTCTCAAAAGTATTTTTCAAGTATCTTCTGTGTTTGAAACGTCTGACTACAAATGCCTTATGCGGTATTTGAAGATAAGATTAAGAAGCAATACGGAAGCAAGACAACCTGAGTGACTCTTTCAAAAAGCAATGGCCTTTGATTTACTCTTTCTTCCATTTCTTGCAACTCTTGCAAATATTCTTGCATTCTCTGCTTCTCATAATTCCTAAGGGAAACAGAGTACGAGAGAAATTATTATTAATTTATCATACAAGAAGTAATTTTCTACAGGAGCTGAAAGTTAAATTGCTCATAACAAACTAAATATTGTCCTACTTAAAGATACATAAAAGGTAAATTATTTTATGGTGGTTACAGGGTCTGAGGTGTATTGTCTCATTTTCATAGCAATTGCTTGCCTGTAAGTACTGAACAAAACTGTCTCTGAAGTAGTCACTTTGGATACGCAAAGGGGTCGTGGCTAGTGAGGTTAAATTAGGGACTGTTTGGATTCTTAAGTTTTTTTGGATGCTTAGGTTTTTCTAAGTTTGGATACCTAGGTTTTTTAAAATGCTGATTTCATACAGATATCCTAGTTTTTCTAAGCAAAATTAAACGGTTTGAAATGACTGATAAAATCAGAATGCACCATAGGAAATGAATATCATCAAATAAAAATCGGTACTTCAAGGTAAAGTTTGATGATAAGAATCTTGCTATGTTGCCAGTCTGTCTCGCAGGAGGGGTTGGCCGCATGCTGGATCCTAGTACGCTTTTATCCCGGTTGATTTGTCAAGGGCCCAGTCAATATAGCAGGATGATGAAACTGTTGATTCATCAACTGAAACGGTATCCCGGATCACAGCAAGCACTAGGTAATCCACGTAGCACCGGGTTGTAATCCTCCGTGTGTGACAGAGACGCCTCTTTGTGAGGTTGCCTCTGTACGGGGCCAGCTCTAGCATTACGAAGTCAGGCACCTAAGGGCAACTATGAGGGCTAGGGGGCATTTTACACTTCTGTCTCCTCCTGCCTCTCTCCCTTACCATCCCCTGAATTTCTGCGATATAGCTGTGCATGAAGGCAAGTTATTCACCATTTTGAGGGAGGGAACTTCATTGTTGCTACTTGCTTGCTCTCTCAGGCGGCTTTCTACAAACCTAATTATCTGTTAGAAGAGCACTTACATTAATATACCTTATTACCCAGCCTATGCTGAAATAAGCATTATCAAGTTAAGGACTTGTACCAGCCTTAATGCATCAGCACTAGGGAAGTAATCTTGCTTTATAATAGCATAATTTTATGTGCAGACAAGAACGGGGCATGAGTGTTTTACAGTACTCCTGAAATCTGATTAAGCTAAATACTGTAATGTGAAGTCTGCTGTTGAAAGAACTCAAATCAAATCTGTAAGCACACCTACCGTCTCAATTCTCCACCTTGCTACTGTAACGCAAATTGTTTTCTGCTTCTGTCCTAGAGTCAGCAGATCATCTGCCCAAGGACACTTGCATTATGAAGCTCCTGTTATTAACCGTATCTGCTGGTCGTGTTGCAAAAGCAATTGCGCTTCAGCTCTGACTCTTAACAAAACAGAAGGGGCTGCCCTCTTTGACCTGCATCTCTGCTCTCCAGGACCCTGTGCAAGCCCTGCTTCTTCCAGACCACTGCTCCCTCCTAGGTGTGCTTTGGCTTCAGCTGTCTTTGGGGGAGGTGGCAGGCGGGCATAGATGCACGCTGGATAGTCCCTGACCGCCCGCGTGGCCAAGCAAAATGTTTGTTGCAATGCCGCTTCTACCACATCCCGGCTGAGCCGCTGCACTCCATGCTTTCAGCATGTGAGAACACGTGTGCTTCAGTTTCTGCTATGTTTTCTCTTTCTGGTCACAGTGAAGCAACATCGTGAATCACCATTTATAAAGTTTGCTGGTGGAACAATGTGCAGTATTGACTTGCAGGTGGTGCTGCAGTATTTTATCACATTTGCTCATGACAGCCCAGAGTTTATTAAGAATAAATCCACAGTTTTCTCCTTTAGCTATAGAGAAAGAAGAGACCCACGTAAAGCAGAAAGAGAACGAGGAAACCTTATTTGTTACCTTTCAACTCGGCCACAGACAGCCCTAGCCTCCACCCTCACTTCAGAAAGATCTCTATCCTGGATCATGTTCTAAACACCTTAAAGCTTAGTATGGTAATTTAAAAGTTGCTAGTCCAAGCTGTGAATCTTGTAATCAGGCGTATCTCATGATCATTCACCCTTGTATCGTTTTGCCCTACTACTGTCAGTTACGGGCAATTTGCCTGGTTACTGGAAATTAGGATTCATAGTCGCTGCCCAAGAATCCTGCCTACACATGAAGCAACAGGGGCAGAGCAGTGCCACCAGGCCAAGACAGATTATAAACCTCACTAAAGACTCGTTCAAACAGGACTGACTTTTTTTTGTTTTTTCCCTAGGATTAAAAAGAACAGGAAGCAGAAATGGTTAAATTAGCCACAAACACAAGGTCAAGCAGCAATTCTGGAGTTAGATCAGCAGCAGAGAGCTGGAGCCATCTGGACTGCTAGTTTCCAGCACACGGAGAAGGCCCTGATGTTTTTCCCCTGTGTACTGCTTTTCTCAGTCCTGTAGAAAGTCTTTGAATTTATATCTTTACTAAAGGTAACTTTGGCTCCCATTCCTCCTAAGCACCAGCAGCTTCCTGGTCAGCTGCTGATACATGTGCTACGTTCAAATAATATTCCTGCTCTAATTTTCCCTCTTAAGCAGGGACCTGCTGGGACAAAGAAGTGAATTGTGAAATGTTCACTACACCGTTCCTTTTCCTTTTCCATTTTTTTTAAACTTTCCCTCTTTACTTGATATGTCAGCTGAGAAAACACAGACGTTTCCTGTTGGCTAATCTACAAATACCATAAGGTGGAACACACAGATCACAATCGTTAGAACAGGCAACAATTTCCCACTTGAAATACTGAATTTGGCCACTTTTTTTTACTAGCTGCTTGTACAGTGTATAATTTATCAAATGTATAATTATTTAAACTTAGACTATGCTATTTTTTACGTTGTATGTTTAACATACAACGTAGAGTGAGAGGTTCAGGATTCAGGGGAAAGCAACAAAATACCTGAATGTTTTTAATTTGGATTTAGACATCTGAGCTAGGCTCTGATGTGGGTCATTGGCCTCAGCCCGAGTCGTTACAATTTTCTGGAGTTTTTTCGTTCTTTGTTTCTGCTTTGTTCTGTTCCTTTTTTGTTGTTCTTCCAGCTTTCTCTTTTCCTCAAGTGAATTCCTGGGTGGAAAAATAAACTAAGGCTGAATTCATTTTAAATCAAGAGCAAGACTTCAAAGGGAGCTTTGGCAAAGGAGATTCAAAAGAGAAGAACAGGGTGAAAACAGGGTCGGCATAAGAGGACACGAGGTATGTGCCGTATTGAGGGATTCAGGCATCTCCTGGGAAGCGGCAGTCATTTGTCCCGTTTCTATGGGTGTTCTGAGAAAAATGCACTATGTTTCTTTAACAATCATAAACGCTAATTAAGTCCTATATTTAAAATATTTTAAGTTTTCTGTTATAATGAAGCCCTTATATTAATGTATTAAGTCCTAAATTCAGCGCATGGAAGAATTGACTACGTATGTAGAAATACAAAAGAAATCTACTCTTAAAGCATATAGAAAATGTAGAGCATCGCTAAAGTAGTCACCTTATGGCCTGTAGCCGTCGTCTTGTGGATTCTGTGATTTTTGGCGATTTAGATTCTCCAAATCCTGAGAGATGTGCGTTTGCACTCGAATGTCTCATTTGAGGTTTACGTCTTGGAGAGGCATATGGCCAGCGTGTTTCTTTCAACTTTTCTTCGTCCTCTTGAATGTCCTTCAAAATCTTCCCCTTGTTTGAGGGAATATATGGAGTACGAAGATCGAAAGGTTCACAGACTGTGAGGTGTTTCACTTGTTTTTGTTGCAGGAGCCGTTTCTGAAATTTCTGGTGTAGTAGTTCAAAATCTGGAACTTTTGATTTGATCTTGGGTTTATGTTCTCTTTCCTTTGGTTCCATGCACTTGTGTTTCTTCTTTTTACTGGTATCTTTTAAAGCCAGTCTGCTGTTGGGTACAGATGAATTACGTAGCAACTCTTCAGCCCTCATTCGGATCCTGATTTCTCGGTAGAGCTCTTCCTCCTTTAGCTTGTTGTTAACAGCTGGACTATAAACACATTTAGGAACTGGTTTTGCTTTGAACAGTTTTGTTTTCTTCTCAGGTGCAGAAAGGTCCCTTAATTGCATTTTCCGAATTTCATTCCTTTGCTTCTCTCGTTCAATGAATTTGAATGGCTTCTGAGAAGCCAAGAGCTTGAGTTTGCTTCTCTCTTTCACAGACCTCCTGCGTTCTTCGTTTCGTTGCACGATTTCACGGTAGAGCGGAAGGAAGACGGCAGCAGGCACTGGATTGGCTCGGAATTTTTTCTGACACTCTGCTTCTTCCTCTAGTTGCTGCTTCAATAAGTTATTTTCCATTTCAATCTGTGACTTTGATTTGACATTCTGTTCTTTCTTCCTAGCTTCTCTAATAGTCATCTGGAAAGGCTTGGGCACAGTAACTTTTGGTGACCAGGCTTTCTGTTTCTTCCGTATCGTTCTGAAGGCTGGCAAGCTGTGTTTGGTGCGGGAGATGTAGTCTTCCACAGAGAAGCCGTCCCACATTCTTTCAATCCGTTCCTTAGCAAATGCAGATGATCCAGTTTCGCTACCATTTTCTTCAAACGCTATTTCTCTGTCAGACCCATCAGATATACTCGAGCCTACGGGATCACTTAAGTCAGAGTCTGAAAAGGATTTGTGCAAATTTAGAGGCTGATACGAGCTCTTTTCCCAAGTTGGCCTTTAAAAAAGGGAAAAAAAAGTTCTTTAAGTTCTTTAAGATACCACCATTAGAAAAAAAAAAAAATTAACAGCACTTGTGGGGAAGAAGGGGGGGCGGGGAAAGAAGGGAATAAAGAAGCACAGTAGGTACTCGCACCAGATCATGGTTTTAAGTAAGTGCTGATCGTGAACAAGTCAGCACTTCTTAAGGAAAGGCACTGTGCTCTACTGAACAGGTTGTCCGGTCTCTGCTGCACACGCACTTGCAAATCTCGCAGTCCGTTAGCAAGGTGAATAAGCATTTTTATTATTAAAGCTAACTTTTCTGTGATAGATTATCTGCTTATAGGAAATGGGAAAGTAACACTTCCCAGCCCCCAAAACGCCTGCTGTTTTACAGATGTCTGCAAAGCATTTGAGAATCGTCAGATAAAAGGTACCACCAAACTTACCTACAACACACATTAGAAGCAGCCTTTTTCTTGTCCGAGGGTTGTACTCCTTTTAAGTACAGTTTATTCCGATACATACTTTCTAATTTTGCCATGGTCTCCAAGTGGGCGTTCTTCAACTCTTCCAGCTTCAAGTAATATTCTTGATTTGAATCGCACATTTTGGAAAAGTCTATCCACTTGTCAGGGTCTCCGTTTAGAGAGAGGGTCTGCTCTCTGTCGGTATTTGAATCCGGATCAAAACCATCCTAGAAGAGATGTTTGACATTTTCTCTTAGAGGAAAGGGGAACAAGGTTCTTAATACTGCTTTATCCCAATTAAGTCTAACGAATGATACAGTAATAGCAAATAGAGATACCGGTATACAGATGTTAATGAAGAGTTACACGGAATAATCTTATTGCGTAATAATTTCTATCCTAAGGGTCCTGTTTAAAGCATGTAAAATTCCTAAGTCTGTCCCTGTAATCCGTATGTTTATACCAGGAAATATGATCAAAGGACTTGTCAAAAGAAAAAAGCTTCAACTGTGTTGTAAAGTGCAATTTTTGCTTGATTACTACGCAGCTCTAAAAAAGCCTTTATTTGAAAACAAACAAAACCACAACACAACCTTCTCTGCCTCCCATTTCCACAAGCATTCTCAAAGAAGTCCGTGGGTCTCTTGTGTACAAACGTTTACTCCCATTCCCTAACTTTCTGTGAAATGAGAGGGATGCTGCAGTTCCCACACGGTCTGGCAGCTTGCAGCTCTGTGCAGGTAAGCACATTCTTTAAATGTTTTTAAAGCTTACACAAGTCGGAGAAGTTATTAAAGCAGGTTAGTCCGCGTTACAAAGCCTTCCTTTATGTTATTTTTAAGCATCGCGTTTGAAAAAAAAAATCACAGGACTGGTTTCTTTATCCAAAAATCAGAAGTATCCTAATAAGCTTCGCCGTTCCCACGAAAAGTCTTGTTTGTGCTCTGTCAGGTTTTCACTGCAAAGATCTCCAACTCATTTTTCCTGTCGGGTAGCGCCCGAGTGCAACCTGAATTGCACGATCAAAGCAGCAACGTTAAAAACCCGTTGCAGACCGCCCAGCCACGGGCACCGTCCGCCGCCGCCTCAGTCGCCGCCAACGGCCTCCAGCCTCGCCTCTCGGGCCGCCGCAGGAGGCCCGCCGCCGCCCC